GGGTAAGACGGAACTGTACCTTGAAAGTTCTTATTTCTGTCTCTTTTTCAGGATTTCCAATAATCTTAAGAGCTCTTCTTGTCTCCTAGACCACAATGAACAGATGTGTTCATTATTTTATGTTGTATTTTAGGAGAAGTTCTGGTCATATTCAATGTAACTATACTAGTAGACTTCGTGTTTTGCTTGTCAGCATCATTATTCTTTAAAATCAAGGTAGAAAGTTTTCAGTACTTTCTAATTTTAACTGATTGATAACTGCATGAGCAAACTTCCCTGGCTGGTGCTTTCATTCATCTCCAAATAGTTATCAGCACTAATTCAGAGCTTTTTAGAATGGCATGGTAGCCCTATAAATACTCTTTTATTTTAAGGAGCTAGATTTTCTGGAATAAATGTTACCGTATGCCTGTCTGTTGCCAGGACAAGCATTCTTTATTGGAAATCAGGGAACACACTTAGACAGCATTTGGTCAAAGCTGTGTAAGGGGAACCTCCCTTCCTTCCTTCTCCCTTACAAAAAAATCCAGCATCTGGAAAGGGTGGTATAGGCATCTCTAGATTTTGGTGGTAAAAGTCTTCCACTCTGAAGTGTTTACAGCATCTACTTTTGTGCATGAGTGAAGTTAACAGATTTGTTAACTATTGCACATTTGTGATGTTGCTGTGAAATGGACTTTCCTTGTAATGACCTGTTTTAACACATAATTTTCAAATAGATGGCAAAGACCAGGCATGGATTCTCTTGTGCCAGAATACAAACTGGTTACTGAAGTCTCAAGTTAGCTTCCTTTGCGTGATCTCTACAGTAAAAACTGGAACCTTTTTCCCACTCTAAGGACCACCTTAATAGCTTTGTTTCCTATACCCTACCTGTTTCTCCATCCAGAAGCACTCATTGTCTTAGTTTAATGGTTTTGGAAGATTCCATCCCTGCACTGAATTACCTTATCCTAAGTTTTGCAAACATCACAGTAATTCTGTTCTTATGGTCATGTGGTACAGCCATTATACCTCTATAGGTGAAATATTGCCCAGAGGTCCCTGTAAGGTGCTGTAAAAGAGTAGACACTGCACAGGGCAGTAGCTTTGTTGTTTTATTGTGGTAGGAACCTGCAGCACCTCTATGAGCTCTTTAAGGGAGCAGGTTCTGTCCCCTGTGCTATGGAAAAATGGAAAAGAATAGAGTAGAGTAGAATTAGAGTAGAGTAGAATTAGAATAGAGTAGAATAGAATAGACCAAACTAGACTAGACTAGACTAGAATATTTCAGTTGGAAGGGACCTAAAACGATCATCTAGCCCAACTGCCTGACCAATTCAGGGCTGACCAAGTTAAAGCATGCTATTAAGGGCATTGTCCAAATGCCCCTTAGCACTGACAGGCTTACAGCATTGAGCACTCTTTAGGAAGGCTGTCCCAGTGTTTGACCACCCTCTCAGTAATAAATGCTCCCTGATGTCCAGTCTATACCTCCCCTGGCACAGCTTTGGACCAGTCCCACATATTCTATCACTGGATACCCAGGAGAAGAGATCAGCACCTCTCTCTCCACTTACCCTCCTCGGGGATCCGTTGACAGAAATGAGGTCCTTTGACTTAGAGGACTGGGCAGCCTGAGAGGACTGGGCAGCCTGAAGTCTATCAGTGTTATTAAAGCCTGAGGCAAAAAGTGCATTGAATGCCTCTGCTTTTTCTTCATCCATATAAACGAGGAGACCATCTTCAACAAGTACTGGTCCAATGTTTTTGTTGGACCTCTTCTTGCTATTACTGTACTTAAAAAAGCCCTTCTTGTGGCAACACCAGCCAGCTTCAGCTCTAATTGAGCTTTGACCTTTCATGTCTTCTCCCTGCATATACAAACCACAGCTCTGTACTCTTCCTGAGAAGCCTGACCTTGCTCTCAGACATCATGCATTTTTTTTTCCTTCTTGACCTCCAGAAGAACTTCCCTGTTCAGCCAAGCTGGTCACCCGCCCCCCTTGCTTGACTTACGACACAATGGAATTGCCTGCTCCTGTACATTTAAAAAGTGGTTCTTAAAAACTAACTGGCACTCGTGGACTCCCAAACCCTCAAAAGCAGATTCCCAGCAGACACTACTAAGTAGCTCCCTGAATAGCTTAAAGGTTTTCTCATTCATTACCCTGAAAATTCTAAACAGAACCATTTCATGATCCCTGTGGCCAAAAAGCCACCTAACATCGCAGCTCCCACGAGTCCTTCTCTATTCACAAATAACAAATTGAGGAGAGCGTCTTTCCTAGTTGGCTCACTGAGTACCTGTAGTTAGATCACTAGTAAGACAATACAGGTTTGAAGTAACCATCTTCTGGAGAACAGAACACACCTTCTAGTCATATTAGCGAGGTTGTATCCCTATTGCCAGATGCTGTAGGCTCTCCTGTTTCCTTTGTCCATGGGGAGTGTATCATTCTTGATTTTACTGCCCGTGAGACACTGCTCTTTTTTCTTGTCTGCTTTTTCATTTTCAGAAAGCACATTTAGGAAACTGGCTAGCAAGCAGCCAGCTGGACTTCAACAAATACAACTTTTCAGAGAAGATGGAGCAGGCTAGCTTCCTTCAAGTTGTGGACAGGTGAGTGAACAGCACATTGTAGTGACGCTGTAGATAACAGTCTCAAAGATGTCCCTAAGTGCTGCGGTATATAATCAAATGTTCCGTTACTACAAAGCTTATACAAGTTGCTTTTGAGGAAGGGATACAATTTCTTGCTATCTGGGTTAGCCTGCTTCTTCAAGAGAGATTTTTTCTAACCTTATGTGTGTTTACAACTAAGCTTGTTTTATATTTAATGTTTACCCCAATAATATCTCTCATAAGCAACTTTTAACTTTCCCACATTCAGGCAGACGAAGACTTTGACAGAGACCCCTGAAGGACAGGATAAAATGACAGATGTTGTCCCTGTTGCACCGGACCTACAGAACTCATACCATGCTTTAAATGAACCAGAGCATGCCCCACTTGTCTGCTCAAGTCAGATTGCTGGTCATGCCTTTCCCATTTCAAGGAGAAACAGTGCTGATGCAAGCATTGCTTCCCAGACAGCAAACCCTTGCTTTGCTTTCAATGGCCCATACTTGTTCAGCCCAGTGATGCCCTCCCAGCCTGATGTGCATCAGCCCCTCACAGTGGACCCAGCGGGAGTCCGTAAGAAATCAGTTTCCCTTCAGTACGTGACCCTTCCCAAGGAAGACTGTTCCCAGGCTCCACGGAGGCAAGAGCAGCCAGGAGCAGGTCATCCACAGCCCTTCCTGTTCCCGGATCAGAAGGAAATGATGCAGCACCACAATGAGGAGGAAGTCTCACCGGCCCCACCAGACCATGGCAAAGGCACAACCGTGAGAACAGAAGAGCAGAACTCTGCAAAGGCTGTTAGCTGTGTCACGTCTCCTCAGTGCCTCTTGGAGTACATCACCCCAGAGGGCCTGCTGCTGCCATCAGCCAGCAAGCCTACCCATCCGCCGCTTGTTGCTTCTGGGGAGTTGCCTTGTGACTTGCAGGAGCCCCAGCCCCTCAGTGACCACTCCTTCCACGAGTCTTCTCCTGTGAAAACTGGTGTCATGGTCCCAGTTTCAGGTCAAGCGCCAACCTCTTCTCCTGAATTGCCTCTGGATACATTTGGAGACTATCTTACTGTCCCCTTAGGTCTCCATGGACATTCAGAACCCAAGAAGATTTCTCTTCCTACCTTACAGAAGGAAAATGATCTTCCTAGAAAGCAGCCTTTGCCAGAGGGTAACTTGGTGGTATTAAACCCTGACAGCACTGAGCCAGTTTTCCTTTGCCAGGTTGGTGACTATTGCTTCCAGAGCCTAAAATCAAGTGTGAAGATGGATATTAGTCAGGAAGACCAGCAAGTCAAGAAACTTTCTGAAGGCAAGGAAACCCCTGGGAAGCCTGTATCTGATGATGAATCCATTACTGGCAAGGATAAGGACTTATCAAAAATGCAGGCTATTCAGCTTTTCAAAAACCTGAAATCAGATGATTACTTTTCCTGGCAGCAATCTTTGAGGATCAGAGAAATCTGTTAAATGGGCACATATTAATCAATACCAGAGCTACAGGTAACTGAAAGAGTTTGCAACTATCTGATGAAAAGGAACCCTCAAACCTAGGAACAAATGAACACCAGTCCCATTTTCCAGCTTCCAGTCCCGTGTGTTGAAAGACTTGAAGTAGCTCAATATCCTTCTCAATGGCCTTCACAGATTTGGCATCAAAGACAATCCCAATATTACCCTTTGGTGTTTTTCAAGCTTTCTGGCTTATCTGTAATGAACAGTTTAGCCTCCCTGCGATCCTGTGTCAGATCAGTCATCTTGCAATGATCCCAGATTGCCTGAGGCAAAACCTGTGGCAGGAAATGCAGACTTAAAAGCGTGAAATGCTATCAGAAGAAGACAGGCTTGGAAACCTTGGAAAGAAAACTTAGGTTCTTAAGAGCAATTCTGTTGAACTTTTATGTGTCTGTAAAATAGTTCTTAGCATCACCAAGGAGCTTTCATATATCTACCTTTTCACTACTGGCATGAAACAGGTATTGTCCAAGGTGAAAACAACCCAGGACGTAATAGAAGGATAAATAAAAATGAGAAACAAATTGTTGAAGTCCAGGAAACCTTTCTTAATATTAAGGTGCAGTGTATCACACTGTATTCTAAGGGTAAGAAGGAAACATGACTGGGATACATAAAGTAAGCTGTAGAGAACCAGGGAGAAGAATATACATTACTGAAAGAAAACCCAAGGACTTGTGAGGTGAAGTGAGGAGAAGGGAGTGGGGCAGGTAAGAGAAAATGACAAGCAAGAAATGTTACGAATGTGCACAAGCCTGTATCTGCTGGGGTTTTTCTGTTTCTAAGTGTTAAAGTATTATATTATTTCCTTTCAAGTTCTGTGGAAAGAACAGAATTGTTTATGTATGATATAATTGATCTTAATTATGTAACTTATTCTTGGTTTATTTTTTCTGGATAATAAGCTGTGCTGAGAAAGAGGAGCCTTTTTTTTTTTTTTCCCAATTCTGCTGTAAAGAAAGTGGTGCAAGGTAAGAGAATTTGTTCAGAGCTGTCACTCTGTGATCAGTAAAAGGCTTTGCTTTCAGACCTGAAGGTGGGATTGTGTTCCAAAAAAACATGTTTCTTTTTTTCAAATTTAAAATTTGTACTAATAAAAAAATACTCTTTCTTCCTATAAAACTTTTTTTCCTTATGTTATGAGCATTGTGGTTACAGTGTCTTCACCATTAGCTCATCTGTGCAGGCCTCAAAAAATTCTGTATGTTCGGCTATGTCACCTGTGAGGTAGCATGTTTTCTCCTGACTTTGCTGTGTTATTGGACAGAGATAATGAGAAGGAATTTTGTGTTTGTGCCAGCTGATTCCTCCTCCTGGGCTAATGGGACAGTGCTGATTCAGAAATTGCAGTGAAGTGCGTTGCTTTTTCAGAATTTAAATACGTGTAAATACCACTTTAAATCTGAAAGGTGTGCACATTCAGTTTGGTGTTCATGACAGCAAAAGGCAGGCTGTTGCAACCTCTGATAGAGAATACTGAGGAACACTTTCAGGGATTTTTAATTTAGTCCTTCCCTAATCAGTGGGGTTTTTTGTTACTCTCTTCTTTGGCCTTTTATGAGTGGCACAAACAATTTCTTCCAGGCTGTATAATTATGCCCTATCTAGGCATGCACTAAAAAGAGGTATTCAAATTCATATGCAAATTTGGTATCTGGATTCACATCTTCGATATGCATCACATCGTTGCTGGGCCTTGAATTGCTGTGGGTTTAATAACCAAGAAGAACAGTGAGTGTGAGAACTTTTATTCAGCTCAGTGGCTTTTGGATGAAGCCCATTTGCATTGTGATCAGCACTCTAAGAGGTGTCTGTTCCTCCTGTCCTTCTGCGCTTCACTGGGTGTCTGCAGAGGCTGCTTTTGGAGACGGGATTTATAGATACAAGATCATTTGACGTGACCCCGCAGAGCAGACGATATGGTCGGAAGGAGCCTGGAACTTGAGCAGTAACATGCCATTGTCAGGCTGGGGGAGCTGAGCCCTGGTTTTCTTTTGCAAGGGTAACCATTGTTTTAGGGCAGAATGAGTTTCTTGTTGTTCAATAGCCGTCTAAGCATCATAAAATATGTAATGAAAACTGGAAGCAGGAGTCACAATCAACAGCTCTGCTGTGCCAGAAGAATCCACTGGGTTACAGAATCAAAGCTTCCATAGATTTCATCTGTTGCTGATCCTATGAGTCTTCCATCCCCTTCAGCATGAGGTCCAGCTGCAGTGGGGGGTGGTAAAAAGCATGTTACAAGCCTGTAGCCTGGTGATTCAAGACTTAGGAGCTGTTGTGAGTCCCAGGTCGTCAGCTTCCTGATCACCAGCTTGCGCCATGAAGTTACTGTGCAAAAAGAGGTTGCTGCTACCTTCCCCAGTGCTAGGTACTGATATGCAGGAGAGGAATCATCATTCTGATGATTCAGGAGCCAGTTATGGCATATGCTTATCTCTGCAGGGCTTCCCACCAAGTAGTGCCAGCCCCTCAGCCTCTATATCCGACTGGTGATTCACCAGTGTTTACTATATGTATTCCTACATATATTAAACAGGAGAGGTAGGCATCTCAATTAATACTGCTAATCACATTTTACAACTCTGTATTTACACTGAATACACAGTTATGAAATCATTGCAAACCTTTCCTTCTTGTATGCTCAAACATCATATATTCTGCCTGTGTTTTAACAGCAGGCAGTTTCTTTTTGTTGCCCTGAAGTAATCAGTTTGTTATTCCCTTATCATAACCTTCCTCAACCAGAAATATATTACCTGAATTTGCATGAGATGAGGGTAGTAAGTATATTGTGACCTCAATAGTTCTAATTACGATCCATGCTGAACTACTCTGTTGTTCTGTTTCTGCTAGCCTGCGGGTTGTCTTTTGTGTAAAGAAGGAAAATGAGGCTGAATGGTTTGCTAGAGCAGGAAGCCTGCAGTGGAAAGCCCTCCAAGGCCTCAAGGAAAAATAGCTGGAGGATTTCTGAGAATCAGGTATCTCTGCAGGGTAATGGAAAACAAACCCAACCCATCCTGCCAGTCCCTGTGTGGTTTCCTTGTTCATTCTGTCAAACACTTGTACACACCATCTTATTCCCATGCAACTCCAACAAATGATCTCTGCCTCCTCCCCTTGCTCCCACTACAGAGCTGGAATTTCCATGAAAAGAAACCCCACATCTCATGTTCTGTATGTGGGGAATAAGCACTACCATGACTTTCATGACTGTTTTGGTCCTTTTTAAGTCCTTCCAAGAGGCTGCCAGGATGCTGTATGCTCCAACTTTGATCCAAACAACTCCTCCTATTACAGGATGGATGTTTCACCATGGCATGAGCTGGGTGGACCCAGACTCCTCTGCAACATGAGCCAGCCTTAGGTCAAAAGCTTTGTAGAGTCATTGTGTCCTTCCGAGTTTGTTGGCAGAGAAGCGTATGGTCCTCGTTGCTGAAGGCTGATTTGTTTGTCTAGAAAAGCAGAGGTAAAGCTATCTGAAACAGTTGGCTGGCTTTTCCTATTATTTTAAAAATTTTTCCAGCTCCTTGTTCACAGCGTGCACATGCATTGCAACCTTCTGAGATGAGGGCATTTGCATCTGCTGTAGCCGTGTTGTGTAATTCTAACCTGTCTCCCCTTCTGCTGCATTCAGAGGAACACAGGATGTTGATGCACATTTTCACGTTTATTTAATTCACCGCAGATTCACGATACTGTTTCAGCATCTACAGACACTCTTTTCTTCCCTCTGCTTGCAGCAGAGACTAATAGAGGAACATGAGACTAACACATTGGGTCTGAACAGTCATTCCGTCTTGCCCAGTATTCAGTTTCCATCAATATTTGCAGCGGGTGCTTAAAGCCAGGGTGTAGTAAACATGGGCAAGTGCACAGTAAATAACAAAATCCTTAACTGATATATTTACCTGGTATTTGGTCCAGAGCCTTCCAGAGTTGGAGGAATGTGAGCTGTTGTAGATAATATGCACTTGATGTCTCTGGTCTTCAGAGATTCAACTAATCCTTTTCTAAAACCACTTAATTTTTACTTCATAATGTCTGATAGCAAATCATTCATCGATGTGTTTATGAATAAAAACATCCAAACAAAAAACTGCACACATTTTCCTGGACTCGTTTTGTGCCAGTTGCATGGTTTTTGCCAGTTGCACTGCTTTGGTTTTGTTCTAGATAAACCATCATTCCTTATTCACCATTTCCTGTTTCACATGCTACAAACTTCTGTTAAATCATCTCTTGGTTGTTTCCTTTTCCAAGCTGAAGAATTCCATAGCAATTAGTCTCTCTTCCTATAGATCCCATATTTCTGATAACACTTTTGTACTTTTCCTGTTTCTACAGCATAATCTACAGTATTTCTTCAGAGATGAGATTACAAGAATTGAATATAGTATTCAAGCATGTTATTTAGCTAATGATAATTGGACTCTCCCATTACTGTTACTATTTTTCTGCACTCGCAGTTTCATTGATCTTGTTGTATAGTTAGGATTATTTTTTTGTCACATGAATGTCCATGTCTTTATTAACACTGAATTGATTGATTGATTGAGAGCAGCCCTGCAGATAAGGACGTGGGAATAATGGTGGATGAAAAATTAGATATGAGCCAGTATTGTGAGCTTGCAGCCCAGAAAGTCAATCATATCCTGGGTTGCACAAAAAGAAGCGTGGCCAGCAGGTCAAGGGAGGTTTCTCCCCCTCTGCTCTGCTCTTGTGAGACCCCACCTGGAGTACTGTGTTCAGCTCTGGGGCCCCCAACATCAGAAGGACATTGTCCCGGTTGGAGTGAGTCCGGAGGAGGCCACGAGGATGCTCCGAGGGCTGGAGCCCCTCTGCTATGGGGACAGGCTGAGAGAGTTGGGCTTGTTCAGCCTGGAGAAGAGAAGGCTCCGGGGAGACCTTATTGTGGCCTTTCAGTATATAGAGGGGCTTATAACAAAGATGGA